ATTGTCTAGCTCCTTGTTCTGCCTCTTCAAACAGTCCTCTGCCACCTCTATGGCCCTGTTCAGTCTGATCCAGTAATCAAATGGAGTCTCCCCTTCCATTGGCAATGTAGAATAGACATCAGCTAGGGGCATGTCGGAGTTGATTGTGTCGCTAAAGTGATGCTTCAGAATGTCAAAAACTGGTCTAGGGCCCTGGCTTAAGTCAACTGGGTTACTGCATAGGCTTACTCTCACCACGTCACTCGCCTGCCCTGACAGCTTACCCAAAACTTCATCTGACCCCTCCTGCCCACCATAGCACTTCTTCTGCATGTACACTAACATGGTCTCCTCCCACTCATGCACTGCGCATTCCTCTGAACCATCCCCCCTGAAACAGACTGGTTCCCTGACATCATTTTTCACCACTACATTTAGACTAGAGCTGGCCCCAGCCTTGGAACCACCAACATGATCAACCTTCTGTACCACCCCATCTCCCATAGTCTTTGATTCCAAACAAGAGGCAATATTTTCACCTATGGAGTAACCTATCTGCTTAACAATGCCCGCCAGGAAATCCATAGACACATCCTCCATCCTAGGACTAGATGAAACTGACTCGAATGCGCTGAGTTGAGGTAGCTCTAAATCATGTGGAAAGTGTACACTTGCCTGTGTAGTTGGCCTGGCCAGAGGTGTGGAAGTAACTGGAGAAATAGTTGCCCCCCTACCCACTGGCGGTGAAGGGTTAACCGTGAAAACTCCCCTACCTCTCACAAAACTTTCCATTTTTAAAATAAAATGTAAAAAATATATATATATATATAAAGTCAAAATATATATATATTTTTTTACAATCAATATGAACACTTCTATAAAATCAGGTTCAACATAACACGCTCAAAATAAAAGTTCAGTAGTAGTTGTCTAACCAGACCAAGAATCAACACAGAAAAGTAACAAATAAAACGCCTTAATAAATAGTTGTCGCCACCGTGTGGTAGAAAATGGCGTCGCCCTCACGTTAATTGGCTTCGGAAGGTTACTAGCATAACAGCACAATTACATTACTAAATAATCATAGCATCACCACATACAAGTAATAAACAGTACATTATATTTCCCCCCACTCACTCATGCTACCAGAAGCTCCCTGAGAATTCCAATTGTGCAGAAAGCGAAACCTAGGCAACTGGCGTGCATCAGCAACCACAGTACTTCTTGAAGCCGGGTCTCGGATCCCTCCACGTGACGTCTGACGAAGACGAGTCACGGCACCAGTGTAACAGATGTATATCGTACTCTCCTTGCGTTGTGTTTTCTCCTAATAAATCACATCAGCCAGTGGTCCCAGTTGAGCATCATTTATTTCTGTTGTTAAATGGGAAACAGCACGTTAGTTGTGCAGAGCTTAACGATATTGATGGCTGTCGATGGCAAAATCTGTAGCATGAAGGCAACTGTGTTAGCAGTGGGCTCATGTGACCATTACGTCGGTGTATGCTAGCTAACACACGTATCTACAGCAATCATATGCCAAAGCACATCCCAGAAAGCCCCTCAATCCCTAACAGGTACCATATACCCACACATGTATGAATCAGTAACGTACAGCAACCTTGTACACATTGTAAAATATAAAACAGTATTCAGAACATGACCTACCCCTTGCATCACATTTTCATACTGGGAAGACCTGACGTTCGCGATCTCCCCCTAGCTGCAAGCGGGGCCAATCACAACACGCCTTATTGTCATCAGAGTTGAACCAACCAATAAGAATGCTTGAACATTAAATACACATTTCTTTAGAGGCAAGTGGAAACATAACCAACCCTGTTACACACGCACCACTGGTTTAGTGCGGGGAGCAGGTACGGGGCGTACCGAGCTGGCGACACGCAGCACTGGTTTGGTCCTACCTGGGCTTCTACCTTCGCCCAGGGTCCTTTACCAGCAAATATCTCCTCCCAAGACCACATCTTCCCCACCTGTGTCCAAGGTGTTTGCTCCTCCTGGGCACGCTGCTTGGTCCGTTGGTGGTGGGATCTTCTGTCACGTTCGTTGAGTACAGGATTTGACTAAGGTGCAGCGTGGTATGCGTACATGTTTGTTTATTAAATAAACACAGACAAAACATCAAACGTAACGTGACATTCTAAAGGCTAAACATCAAACAAGCCAAACACACAGAAACAAGATCCCACAACTAAAGGTAGGCAAAATGGCTACCTAAGTATGATCCCCAATCAGAGACAACGATCGACAGCTGCCTCTGATTGGGAACCACACCCGGCCAACATAGAAATACATAACATAGAATTCACACCCTGACCAAACCAACTAGAGAAAACCGGGCTCTCAAGGTCAGGGCGTGACAGAGGTACTGGCAGGGTGGCCGACTTGGTAGAAGGAGAAAGACAGCTACAGATGTAGGATCTTAATTTGATCGCCCTGTTGCAGGAGAACTGTCCTGCAATGCAGGAAATGTCAAACCTGTAGTGTATTTGAGGTTTAAAAAGGCTTCTGAAGTTTGTAATTTCCACTTGGAAATGTCAGACCTGATTTTCACTTATGAAATTGTATCAACCCCTACAACATTTTCATTAATTATAATCCATGTAATAATTCACATTTACCCTTGCTTTAGGATAATTTTCCTGCTGTAGCAAACTGGCTCAAATAAAGATCCTACATCTGATGTCAGAGGTACAGCGAGGTGGTGGGGAGAGAGAGAGAGACCGTGGTACAGTGGCAGGTGGAGGGATGGTCTCTGGGGGAGGCCCAGTGTGAATGGAAACTCACCTTGGATCACTCTAAGACAAGATAGAGGTAGATGGAAGTGGGCAGTCCTGGTAGATATGACAGCATGACAGGGAGATGGTAGGAGGAGAGAGGGAGGAGGAGGGGAGAGAGGAGGGGAGGGAGGGGTAGAGGGAGGAGGAGGAGAGGGGGGAGGGGAGGGGTAGAGAAGGAGGAGAGGGAGGGGAGAGGAGGGAGGGGGGGAGAGGGGAGAGGAGGAGAGGGAGGAGAGGTGGGGCGGTTAGGGGAGGGGGGGGGAAGGAGGAGGAGAGGGAGAGAGGGGAGAGCTAGAGGGGAGGTGAGTAGGGTTGGGTCAGAGAGCGGAGAAGGGGGAGAGGAGGGAGGAGAGTGGGGAGGGGGCGAAGGAGGAGAGGGAGAGAGGAGGGTAGAGGGAAGGAGGAGGGGGGGAAAGGGGGACGGGGGGGGGGAGGAGGAGGGGAGGGAGGGGAGGGAGAGGGATAGGGGGACGGTTTAGGGTTTAGGGGTAGGGAGGATAGGGTAGGGAGGTTAGGGAGGGGAGGGGAGGGATGGGGGAGGAGTTGGGAGAGGGAGGAGATAGGGGAGGTAAGGAGAGGGTGGGAGAGGGAGGGGTAGAGTAGGGAGAAGGGTAGAGGAGAGAGGAAGGTGGTAGCGGTAGGAGAGGTAGAGAGAGGATGGGGTAGAAGAGTAGAGAGAGAGGGTGGTGGGGAGAGAGGAGAGGATGGGGTAGACGGTAAGGGAGAAGGTAGAGAGAGGATAGGGGTAGACGGTAAGGGAGAGGGTAGAGAGAGGATAGGGGTAGACGGTAAGGGAGAAGGTAGAGAGAGGATAGGGATGCGGTAGAGGGAGGTAGAGCGAGGGGGGGTAGAGGTAAGGGGAAGGTAGAGAGAGGATAGGGGAGAGGTAGAGGAGAGGGTAGAGGAGGTGGGTAGCGGTAAGGGAGAGGTAGAGGGGATAGGGGTAGTAAGAGGGGTGAGGGAGAAGGTAGGGTAGAAGAGAGGTGTAGAGAGATGGGTAGACGGTAAGGGAGAGGTAGAGAGGGGGGGTTAGGTGGAGAGGTAGGGCGGATCGGGAACGGTGGTAGGGGTAGACATGGAGGGGAGTAGGGGGGTTTTGGGAGGGGGGGGGGGAGTGGTAGAGTGGGAAAAGGGGTAGAGAGAGAAGGGGTGAGACGGTTAAGGGAGAAGGTTAGAGCGAGGTAGGGTAGACGGTAAGGGAGACGGTAGGAGCGAGGGGGATGGGGGGTAGACGGTTAGGGGAGATAGGGGTAGACGGTAGGAGAGGCGGATAGGGGGTAGTTATAGACGTAAGGGGGAGTTAGGAGATCGGGGTAGTACGGTATGTAGGGAGTAGCGGTAGTAGGAGACGGTGGGGAGATGGGGTAGACGGTAAGGGAGAGGGTAGAGAGAGGATGGGGTTAGACGGTAAGGGAGAAGGTAGAGAGAGGAAGGGGTGACGGTAAGGGAGAAGGATGGATAGTAAGAGGTAGGATAGGGGTTGGTAGACGGTGGTTTAACGGAGAGTTTTTTATAGTTTGAAAAAAGGAGGATAGGGGTAGACGGTTTAGGAGGGTAGAGAGGTAGAGTAGAGGGATAGGGGTAGACGGTAAGGGTGGTGAATGGGTAGAGAGCGGATAGGGGTAGATGGTAAGGGAGAGGGTAGAGGGAGGGCAGGAGGTGTATGGTCCCCTGTAGCTCAGTTAGTAGAGCATGGCGCTTGCAACGTGTGGGTTCGTTTCCCACGGGGGGCCAGTATGAAAATGTATGCACTCACTAACTGTAAGTCGCTCTGGATAAGAGCGTCTGCTAAATGACTAAAATGTAAAAATGTAATAAACACAGACAGGAGAGTTTGGATCTCAGCCCTAATAAAAGCTAAAGGGAAGAGGGGGGGGGGAAAGGGAGGGAAGGGGTTGTTTGGATGATGCATTTCAGCCTGTATATCTTCTCTACACTCTCCGAGAGAGAGACAAGATAAACGAGACAAAACAACATCAAAGTAGACTTGTACATTGACCTCTGTTACTCTCTGTTTGGATCTATGAACTAGACATATCTATGATTGAATCACCTTTCCCTGGTGTTTCTATACTACCTCACCCCTTCTGCATAGTTGAACATAGTACAATGAACTGTTTCTGTACACTGTTCTGAGCGGTGATTCAGTGTTTCACACAGTCACTGTCTCATTCTGACAGCCTGTCTCATTCCATCTTGCCCTGTCTTATCCTCCCAGCATGCTGTGCTGTGCTCTGCCTGGGGTACCGACTCATACCCACAATGCTCCTCTGCTCTCCTCAGACAGTCCTGACAACCAACCACAGCTTAGCGCTGCTGCACTCTAAGCAAACAAAACATGTACATATTGCCAGGGTTTGGCTATCTGATTCACCATCAAAAGAGGATGACTAACTGAGGATATCTCTCTCTCTCTCTCTCTCTCGCTCTCTTTCTCTCTCTCTCTCTCTCTCTCTCTCTCTCTCTCTCTCTCTCTCTCTCTCTCTCTCTCTCTCTCTCTCTCTATCTCTTATTTTCTTTCTTGTCTTTGCAGCATCTGTCTAGCAGACACAGTGTCCAGCAAAGCACAACCCAGGTACAGCATACACTCTGCAGTTGCTATCATGCATAAACTGTTTTTGAATTTGGGGCAACAGAATGCTAACATCATGTTATAAAATAATCTATGCACAATAACTTTCCCTACAGGGTGACAGTATCCCTGTCCCGTCTCGTCCCCACAGGGTGACAGTATCCCTGTCCCGTCTCGTCCCCACAGGGTGACAGTATCCCTGTCCCGTCTCATCCCCACAGGGTGACAGTATCCCGGTCCCGTCTCATCCCCACAGGGTGACAGTATCCCTGTGCCGTCTTGTTCCCCTACGGTGACAGTATCCCTGTCCTGTCTCATCCCCACAGGGTGATAGTATCCCTGTCCCGTCTCGTCCCCACAGGGTGACAGTATCCCTGTCCCGTCTCGTCCCCACAGGGTGACAGTATCCCTGTCCCGTCTCATCCCCACAGGGTAACAGTATCCCGGTCCCGTCTCGTCCCCACAGGGTGACAGTATCCCTGTCCCGTCTCGTCCCCACAGAGTGACAGTATCCCGGTCCCGTCTCGTCCCCACAGGGTGACAGTATCCCTGTCCCGTCTCATCCCCACAGGGTGACAGTATCCCTGTCCCGTCACGTCCCCACAGGGTGAGAGTATCCCTGTCCCGTGTCATCCCCACAGGGTGACAATATCCCTATCCCGTCTCGTACCCACAGGGGTAACAGTATCCCTATCCCTTCTGTCACCCCTGTGGGTACAATACCTGTGCCTTCTCTACAGGGTGACATTATCCCTGTTCCGTGTCGTCCCCACAGGGTGACAGTATCCCTGTGCCATCTCGTCCCCACAGAGTGACAGTATCCCGGTCCGTCTCATCCCCACAGGGTGACAGTATCCCTGTGCCGTCTGTCCCCTACGGTGACAGTATCCCTGTCCCGTCTCGTCCCCACAGGGTGACAGTATCCCTGTCCCGTCTCGTCCCCACAGGGTGACAGTATCCCTGTCCTGTCTCGTCTCTACGGGGTGACAGTATCCCTGTCCCGTCTCGTCCCTCACCATGTCTTACTCTAGCATACTACACTGTAAAAAACACCCACAAATCGAGTTGTTTCAACTAATTGTTATTAAGTAACTAGTTCCACAGGCTTTTTTTTTTTGTTTACTCAATTTTTCGGTCAAAGTGTTTTCAGGGCGTAACATTTTTAGCTGGCCCAAACTTAAGTCCAACATGAGAAAACATAGGCAAAAATTCAGTCAAGTTAAAATGATGTGTTTGCTCAATTTGTCTCATATGGTCATTCAACTCGAAAATTATAATTTTTGGTATCTTACCTAAAAAAGGCTGTGGAACTACATTTACATTTTAGTCATTCAGCAGACGCTCTTATCCAGAGCTACTTACAGTTAGTGCATTCATCTTAAGATAGCTAGGTGGGACAACCACATATCACAGTCATAGTAAGTACATTTTTCCTGAATAAAGTAGCTAACAGTAATGTCAGAGATAGTAAGGGGGAAAAAGTGAAGTGCGAGTGTTAGAGCATGAACCTGCAGGAGCGAGTCACTTCTTTAATGTTAGCGGAGAACGACAGGGTGTTGTCCAGGGTCGCGCCAAGGTTCTTTGCACTCTGGGAGGGGTACACCGTGGAGTTGTCCACCATGATGGAGAGGTCGTTGAGTGGGCAGGCCTTCCCCAGGAGGAAGAGCAGCTCCGCTCCGTCTTGCCGAGTGACTTGGTGTATGGAGAGAAGAGGAGAGGGCCTAGAACCGAGCCCTGGGGGACACCAGTAGTGAGAGTACATGGTGCAGACACAGATCCTGTCCACGACAGCTGGTAGGAGCGGCCTGTCAGGTAGGATGCAATCCAAGAGTGTGCAGAGCCTGAGATGCCCAGCCCTGAGAGAGGGTGGAGAGGAGGAACTGATGGTTCATGGTGTCAAAGGCAGCGGATAGATCTAGGAGGATGAAAACAAAGAACAGAGAGTCAGCTTTGGCAGTGAGGAGAGCCTCATTGACACAGAGAAGAGTAGTATCGGTTGAGTGACCCGTTAGGGTCAAGAAGATCATTCTGAGAGAGATAACGTGAGAGTTGACCAGAGGCAGCACGCTCAAGTGTTTTGGAAAAAAAAGAAAGAAGGGATACAGGTCTATAGTTTTTGACGTCAGATGAGTCGAGTGTTGGTTCCTT